TAGTGAAATAAAGGCTGCCATGGCTTCAAGTAATAAATAGGTAAACAACCCTTTTCACGCCATCGGCACTTTAGACATCAATTGCTAGACCCATATATCAGTAGCCCAGTTGGCACTTTAGACATCAATTGCTAGACCCATATATCAGTAGCCCAGTTGGCACTTTAGACATCAATTGCTAGACCCATATATCAGTAGCCCAGTTGGCACTTTAGACATTAATTGCTAGACCCATATATCAGTAGCCCAATTGGCACTTTAGACATCGATTGCTAGACCCATATATCAGTAGCCCAATTGGCACTTTAGACATCGATTGCTAGACCCATATATCAGTAGCCCAGTCTGCACTTTAGACATCGATTGCTAGACCCATATATCAGTAGCCCAGTCGGCACTTTAGACATTGATTGCTAGACCCATATATCAGTAGCCCAGTCGGCACTTTAGACATCGATTGCTAGACCCATATATCAGTAGCCCAGTCGGCACTTTAGACATCGATTGCTAGACCCATATATCAGTAGCCCAGTCGGCATTCAGGGAATAATGTAGTAAGTAAATATTATGATGTCTGCCTTTATCTCGCAGGACATCTCCTGTGGGGGGAGGGGGGGGGGGGGATTTCATGTTTTTAAAATTCACTGCAAGGAAGATTTGAGCACAAGACTTTTGTGCTGGCAGTCAAGTGTTAAGTCAGTGTGCTGCTGGGGCTCCCTCTGGCTTTAGCTTTTGTTGTTGCTGAGGGATATGCATAAGAATGGGTGTGTTTTGTCCAGTGACTTCTCTTCTCATTAATTAATCTTCTAGTTCGTTCAGTTGAACTTTTCTTCTTAGCGTTCACTGGCTGTAAATCTAACAGAAAGTTCTCCTTGCTTACCCTCTTCTGGACTTTGATCTTGTTCCAGAATATAAGTTTTACATGCACATGTGCAGACTGTTGGTTCCTCGCCTCTCATTCAGATGCACTCCAATTTTGAAGGAAACATCCCTAATTAGAAGACTCTTATCACATGGATGTTAGAGGGCAGTGTGCCTATTCTTGTTCCCTACAATAGGACCCTGGAACCCATATGGGTAAATCAGTTGTTTGAGCACCTGTCATCAAGACCAGAAGAGAAGTTTGAGGTAATTTCTGGCAACAGAATAAAAGATGTGCTCAAAATGTATGAATGCTAATCTACTAGACCAGAGTGATACTGAATCACTTAGATACTGTAATATAATAGAGGTAGCAGTTTGTCTGTGTTGTGAATCGCTAAGGTAACGTAATGTAATAGTTGGTGTGTGTTGTAAATCACTTTGATAACATAATATAGATGTTGCAGTTTGTCTGTGTTGTTAATCACTTATATAATGTTATATAATAGATGTAGCAATTTGTCTGATTTGTGAATCACTAGGGTAACGTAATATAATAAATGTAGCAGTTTGTCTGTGTTGTTAATCACTTAAATAATGTAAAATAATAGATGAAGCAATTTGTCTGTGTTGTGAATCACTTAGATAACATAATTTTAAAGATGTAGCATTTTTGTGTGTTGTGAATCATTTAGATAACGTAATATGATAGATATAGCAGTTTGTCTGTGGTCTAGTGGGGTGCCCGTATGTTAAAAATGCCTCCCAACACTGTACAGTATATTTCTGCTAGCAGACTTATATTTCCTAACATGCTTTATATTTCATTGTCTCAGGAAAGTGTATGTCACAGATATAACATTTTGAATACGTCCTTCACAAGGAAAGATGTTTAATAATTGCTCATGTTTTCTGTTTCTATACTCACAAGATAGATATGTGGCTGAAGCACACATTAGCAACAAAACCTATGTAACAGTATGTGCCTACCAGCTTGAAGGTCCTAGGTTTGGATCCTTATCAGTAAAGATTTGTTTAAATAACTGACATAGGACTCCCAAGGAGTCTCTGCCTAAAATGAATACTAGGACATGTCCTGGCATGTAAAGGTGGACAGTTTGATGTTGACCACATTGTATGCTGAGAGCTGATTCATCTTTAAAAATATGTTTCTGGTACTATATGCTGAAAACAGTTCCGTCTACTGATTTGACTGCATGGTGCAACACTGTGAGCTACATATTTCATTTTGGATGGGTTTTTTTAACTGTTTCCAACATGGTTTGTGTTGTGAACTGCAGATTTAGAAAATGGCAAGTGACATGTGGCCACAGAACTGGTGTTACCTTATGTTATTAGGTGCATGTACAACTACTGATCTGTTGTAACTGCTGCTTTCCTCGATGATGAATTGCACTTATTCTAGTAGCAGACTGTTTGTGTTGGCACTTCTGATGGCTGCATCTAGTGTGTGTGTGTATATGCTATTGGATTTGCTAATATTGCAGTCTGTGTCTATTATTTTGCAAATGACAGTTGTAGACATTCTCTATGGTTTTCTTTGGCACAGGAATGGGAAATCATTGGGGTGACCCATTTGTTTAAAGTTGAAACTTTGATTACCTTAAATTCCTACTATATTCCTGACATGCCACCATCATCATCATGTAGCAGGTCCATTTGCAGAACGCCGCTCTCATCACAGTCAGCCTGAAAGAAATTCGGTCTCTCGCCAGTTCTCCCGCCTCATGACATGCCACCAGTGGTGCGAAAAGGGTCCTTTACTGACTTATTTAATGCAGCAGATTTATTTTTTAACTAACTTTGCAAATGTAATATTTTTTCTATGTGTAGGTTGTAAAAGTATATTTACAGCTTACTTTTACATTTGCCACAGCTTCAAAAATTGATGCATTTTGTCACAGTTTTAGATTTCTTATTCTCTGCAACATGTATGACTGTTTAGGTAAGAGTGGGTCAAGGAGATGGAAAAACTGTAGTTCGTTTGTGTCTGTTATGTAATATTTGTTCATTTCTTGTTAGTTACATTAAAGTTCAATTACAAAAGTCACAGCCTTTGAAATCTTAGAGTGTAGCTATTTTATTCATGTATAATTTATGTCCCAGGATATGCAGGTGTTGTTGGTAATGAAAGAGTTGATAGATTGGCCGGTTCTGCCTTAGTTGCATATGGCCAGTCTATGGATCGTGCTGACATTTTGAATGCCCTTAGAGAGATATGGCGATCCGACAATTTTGGGAGCAGCGTGTCCACATCACTGCTAAGAATGCGACAATTGGGAGTAAAGATCATTACAGCCAAGCATGAGAGGCACACCGGATGCACAAGAAGTCTTGTTAACAAGCATAGGACTGTTACTATGAACCGTGGGATGCTGATCTGTATGTTGAAGGGGAAAATCTGATCACCTATGGACTGGTCTGGACTGCTGATAAGAAAACCCAACTCATAACTCACATATGTTTTTAAAGCAGTCTTTAAATTTCTTATTTTAAAATGTTGAATAGTTATAGAAATATGCATTTCAGTGGTACCTCCACCCTCTTCCCCCCTTTCCCCCTCTTTTTCAAGTTGGTAAGTAAAATAAGATCGCTTGTTTCTTGAGCTTCCCTGGTAATTTACATAAAATTAATCATTGATTATACTTTCCATTACATGCCCACTTGCGGTTGATGTAACAGATCAAATGTATCAAATTAACTCTGCTGTATCTATGTCCAAGACTGTATTTGAGACATATGATGCCCCTGTATGGTCATTTATTTTATGATGCCCCTTTTGCCTCTGCTAAACTTTAGCATCACTGTTCCTTTACAGTTTTGCAACAGTAAGTTGTGGAATTATTGATTTTAGTTTTTAACTGTACTGAAGAATTTTAAACTTACCTGAATACATAACAAATAGAAAAGATGTGCTAATCAAAGTCCTAATGGAGCAGTGATGCGCAATTAAAGACAGAACTGTCATAATGATGACAACAATAAAGATACTGACATTTGTTTGTTAAGTAATTATACACTGTGTCCGTAAAGTCATTAAGCACTTTTGACCAGTCATAGGAAAGCAACAACAAAAAAAAAGATAGAAATGTTAGATCTGCACCAAATGAAAACAAATAAACTCCCCAAGTTTCATAATGTGATGTGCAATCTTGTGCACACACAGGTGATGACACAACACTATAAAACTTTGAGAGTCTTCTTTTCATTTGGGGAAGATTTCACATTTCTATCTGGTTGATTTCCTTTGACTAGTCAAAAGTGCACCATGGATTTACGGACACACAGTATTTTGCACTTTTTAGAATTTTGTCATACTTAAACTTTTGCCTCTGCACATGTTACATGTAGCCTAAATAGGACCCTATCTGTGTCACTAGTGCCTTGATCTTGCCTCTATTTTACATTGATTATTGTTGTGAATTGTCATTTTATTTGTTTTTCTTGCTTCTTTGGCTTCACATTTAATCAATAAAATAAATTTATATGCATAATGCTTTTTTTTTTTAAGCAACTTATTCAGTTTTGTTACTGTTAGTTTTTAAAACAGTGTTTTCCCATTGTAAATTTTAATATATTTTCAATGAATAATCAACATAAAATCATTTAGCACATTCCCATAAGCGCTGCATCCCTATCTTCAGTAGCAAGCGTAGAGTTCCAATTGTGAAGGTACCAGTTGCTGTCTGATTGCATATCCATCTTGCCTTTCCCCTGAGTGTTGACACTCAGCCAGATCCACTGCTCACTCCCAGACAAAAATTTGAATAATGCGGACACGAACAAAAGATTGCATACTGTTTTTGCTTTAACTATATTTCTTGTAGGCTTTGGCGACTCTAGCAACTTCCATATGCATTTACTGTGTCCGCATGTTTCTGGACTGTTTCGGGACTAGTCATTTGTGCATCAGTTTTTCTTTCAAATGTGACAGTGAGGGAAGTTGTATCTGATTTTCACTTTCACAGGAATGGAGCAAGTATGGGGAAACCTGATTACATTGATGTGGAAATCTTGAAAAAGACTAAGCCTAAGACTATTAAATGTAACAGTTCTCCATTAAAATTCAACAACACCAGGTTGATGAGGAGGAAAGTCCTGCGCAGACAAATACTGAATCACAGCCCTCTTTTGACATCTTCTTTGCCGAGTTCCACGACGACTTTTCCTACATTCTTCCTTGAGTACATGTACTGTAGGGGAGAGGGAGAAAACATGAAAGATGATAACACTCAACTCTGTAGGCTTATCATTCATAAGCTATAATGCAAACAAACTTCTCATACACAGAGAGAGAGGGAGAGAAGATACATTTGTTATGAAAGAATACTGTGCATGAGAAGTTTGTTTTGAACAACGGATCAACATCGTGGCACACATGTAGTTAGCCAAAGGTGCTCCATTCTTTTTCTAACTAAAGTCTGAGTCCGAAGAAGCTCAGCACAGTGCACAAGCTCTGTAGCACTGGCGAGGATCCTGAAATACTTTGGGTAGGACACCATGCCTCGAGACCACGCAGCTCCCTTGGGCTGGAGAATTAATCTATACACCTGGGCACGCAGGAGGGGATGGTAATGAAATAGCTGGCAAGAAATGCTCCAATGCAAAGGGAAGAAGCACGGACAGAGCTGATATCATCAACACTGGTAGGGTCTAGGTTGGGGGATAATGGCGAATATCTGATGTTAACCCGACTGTGTGACCGAAGAGTTTAGCTTGGTAATGTATGTATATTCTGTCTTCGAGGTAAAGACAGGAGATAATATAACCAATTCCTCGTGGAAGCAACTAGTAGATATTCCTTGGAGTAGCTGCTGCATCGGTGGACTGAGCACGCATGGGGATGCCCAATGTGCAAAGACGTTGATTGTGATAACATAATAGAGAGAGAGAGAGAGAATAAAACGGAACAGTTTCATTATATTATTTCAGAATTTTCTTTTCTTTCTTTCTTTCTTTCTTTCTTTCTTTCTTTCTTTCTTTCTTTCTTTCTTTCTTTCTTTCTTTCTTTCTTTCTTTCTTTCTTTCTTTCTTTCTTTCTTTCTTTCTTTCTTTCTTTCTCCCTTACTTTTAGTACGGGCACAGCTTACACGGGAGAACTGCTCACTTCAGTTCAGGTCGCATTTTACTGATGCACACGGGGTCATGGGAGAAGCGAAAGCATAGCCGCTAGACGCTGGCCTGGTAATGTTCTGGGACGTAAGCGGCAAAGTGAGTTTAAAACTACCACCGAATAACGATTGGTCTGTATAGAAACGAGTCAAGCGCCGTACGTCCGATGCGTCACTGCCGTCCTTTCACTTTTCTTCTTCTTCTTTAGAGTCCGTGTCGTTGGCAGTCATTTCTATCCACAACCATCTGTCTCGTGTACTTTCTGACAGCTCTAACACAGATGATACTCCATGCCATGAAGTCAAAAGATCCAGCATCTGTTCTCTCAGTCTCTCTCTCTGTCCCTCTTGCCCTCCGACTTTCGTACCGTCACGATGTACTCCAGTTTGCTTTTTCTCATCACATGACCAACGAATAAAGATTGCCCTTTCACTCAGGTTCCTGTTATTTTTATGTTGTCACAATCGACGTCACTTTACACTGGGAATTCCCATTCGTGCTGAGTCCCCCGATGCAGTTGCCATTTCAAGCTACTTTGACTGATTGTTCCTGTTAGAAGTTAGTTATAATGTTTCCTGTTTTGGTCTCGAAGGCGGCGTAGACATTGAATTTACTCCCACGTCACGCAATCGTGTTAGTTTCCGAGATTCGTTATTATCAACTAGCCGCGTCCGTACAGAGTATACGTTTGAGCATCCTCAATGCGTACCTCGACGTCTTCAGTAGTAAACCCATTAAAGTTGAACACCCAACTGTTTCAGACTATTCTATATTGTTTAACACCCACCCCCCCCCCCCCGGCCCCCTTTACACTAAACTGATGACAAGCGACCAAGATGTGGCTAGCGATACATCAAAAATATCAAAAGATGGTCAAAGATGATTCTGATAGTGGGTGAAGAGGACAAGAAACAGAATTGGAGCCACATCTACATCAATTCACACAAACGCGAGGACTTTTTTTTTATGTATAGCAAAAAGGTGAAGGTACTCATTACAAAGTATATTTAAAATCGTGTCCGTACCCACGACAAAGTGTCTATTATAAAATTGTCGAGGAAATTTATGTCTAAATAGGAAACCAAATAAGATTGCTATGGAACCTTCTTTCATAAAGCAGGCCTCTGAGCGGCTCAAAAAAGATCACGTTTGCAATTTTTGTTAATTAGAATTGGAATGTCTAAATAACGTTACTGTACTGCATACAGCCTGAAGAAAAAAAAAAGCCTTATCATCTATAAAAGTTTCTCTCAACCTTCCTAATGCCGCGACCCTTTGATACAGTTCCTTAATGTTGTGACGACCCCCAATCAATTATTTTTCTTCATAATTTCCATTAATATATTTTTTTTTTCGATGATCTTAGGCGACCCCTGTGAAATGGTCGTTTGAGTTCCCAAAAAAAGTGTCGCAACCGTCAGGTTGAGAACCACTGATCTTCACAAACACGTATATGCATGAGCTTATCAACATTTTACTTTACCTCTACAGCATCTGCAACTTTGTCCAGCCCGATAAAAGGTCCATTTGGAGCACGCACTCCTGTATCTGAAAACGCCTTTAGTTTTCCTGCCTTGTACAATTTGGTCAGTGAGGAAATATGGCGGAGGTAGTCTGCACTATAGTGATCGAGAAAAAATCCGCGCACGCTGGCCGATTTTGAAAGAAGCTGAGGAGAAATACAAATTGGCCACAATTTTGTTTTTTAATATGTAACAATTGCAGATGAAGTTCTACAATATGTGTGCCTTCTTTGTTCCTTAACCCCCCCTCTCTCTCCAAATTCGCTGCTACGAAAAGATTTGACACACTGAGATAACTAAATCCAATTTGGGTGACAGACCCCGATTTCGTTTACTTATTGGACCAACATCATGGCTCACGGGTAAAGGTAAAAGTAAAGTCGGGAGATGTGAACCATCGTCATTGCACACAGTTATAAACCATAAGTGCTCTGCCACCAGTACGGACAGCTGATAAGAAACTGTTCCTCCATTTACCCCAGAGTGTTAACTCTGGTATCCATTTCCTAGAGTCTGGGTGAACCCCGGGAATCGCCCGGTTTCGAACACCGACCGTGGCTGCCGCGAATCACAGCTAAATTTGAAAGCAAGTCTCCTGTCGACTGTGCCAACGCGGTACCCGGCACACGGTGGTAACCCATAAATGCTCCATTCTACTTCTAACTGAAACCTGAGTCTGAAAAATCTCAGAGCAGTGCACGAACTCCGTTGCACCGGCGAAGATCCTGAAATACTTTGGCTAGATTTTAACACCCAAAAATAGCCTGGGCAGCGTCGTTAGGCTACTCTTGAAAAAGATTTGGAACTGCCAGTATAATTTTAACGTGCTCAACAATACACACGGAGACCAGGAGAAATTACTAGTCAGCGTGAAAAAAATCACAGCCTTCACCGGGGTTTGAACCCAGGACCTCCAGCACTTAAGGTGGACGCCATACCTCGAAACCATTCAGTTTCCCTCCTAGATACTATGTTCAACCTCCGAGGAAGTTATTGTTGAATGTTGATTTAAAAATCGACATCATAGCACTCAATACACTCCCATAAGCGCTTCGTCCCCATCTTCAGCAGCAAGCGAAAAGTTCCAATTCCGATGGTACCAGTAACTGTCTGATTGTATATCTGTCTCTCCTTTCCTTGAGTGTTGAGCGTCGGCCAGATCCCCCTTAAAAAAAGTTAACATTGAATTAACAGTAATGGCTGCATTAACCGATTATTACATGCAGTCCTCTGTCGGCAAGGATGTCCAGGTCTGTTTTCTAATGGTACGCAGTACCGGCTCCTTTGTGTGCACATTTTTAGCGCTACTGTGATAGACACTTTGTGATGAGCAGCAGAATCATTTTAGACACATGTGGTGAGTACTTGCACCTTGTTTTGTGTGTGGGGGGGGGGGGAGGAGGGGGCGGCAAGTGTGGCGCGTGTGTGCACGCGCGCGTGGCTGGTGTTCAATCTCAGCTTCAGAAGATCTGTCAAGGCTATATATATTTTTTTGACGAATTCTGTCAGCTAGAGCTGCCTTTCTTCTTCTTTCGTCCAAAATATATTTTTGTGAATTTTCGACGAAACGTGGTTTGCTTACAGCAGAGGTGCGATATTTGCTCTCTCCGGCATTCTAATTTGTTCGCCTTCTCGTGTCATTCACTGACAATTTTGATAGTTCGAACATCTCGTTAAGTCAGCGCAGTCCGACTGCTAGGGGATAGGCCTAAACGTCCACGGGCGTTCAGAAAAGTTGGCAAGGACTCTGTGTTTTCCTCGGTGCGACTCTTGTGCAACTGTCAGAATACTACAATAAAAAAATGTTTTTCACTGACTGCAGAAATCTAAAAGTATTACTGGAGTACTTGTCGGCGTTTGTGGCTTAAATGTTGCGAATACACTTTGTAATACTGGGGTGCCAGGTTCGATCCCAGTTGCAGGCAATTTGGCAGCCTACCGCCTTTCGTTATTTTCGACAGTGGTATCTAGAGCCAATCGTCCAGAAAACAATGACAAACTACTGGATGTAAATTTGCCTTAAATTTGCCAAAGAATGCTGGGGTTAATTCTGCAATGTCCCGTAAAAGTTATGCAAATATCTTTTAACTCAAGGATAGTGTGAAACTGGTTAACGCGTTCACTTACATCTAAGCCACCAGAGTCGCACATTAGTAGTAGTAGTAGTAGTAGTAGTAGTAGTAGTAGTAGTAGTAGTAGTAGTAGTAGTAGTAGTATTTACCCCACCAGGACATCACACAAGCGATAAACACCCGATGACACAAGGTGCCACCCTGCGGATGAGGATCACCCCTGGAGAGGTCCCGGAAACCGCGTTCAGCCATTAGACCATATTTATGGCCGGGCTATATTGCGGCCCCTGGCAACAGCTAGGGTGGGGCTTAAAAAAACCTTGCGTCCCACAAGGGGATGGCTAAATTATGGATCCGCATATTAGATTATCAAAGGCTGATCTAATTACTGTGATCCTATTATTCAATCCAGTTTTCAATCTATTAATCAGAACTCTCTGTTACTATCAGTAAAGAGGACGATACTCACCGTTATAGGAATCGATACACTCCTCCGTTCTTGTATATCATAGAATGTGTTGCCCTGTTTAACCTCTTGACCTTCGTAGTTTGCAATTAGCCCAATGACAATGACTCTCCCAAACAGTGCCAGGCTAGAAGGGGAGATAAATTGGGGATTAAGGTGAATGTTGCCCTGTAGTATTCAGTTTCGTCCTTTTTAGGACGAAATTTTTTGTTATTCGAAGCTCCACCCTGGCTTTTGCCAGGGGCCGCAATATAGGCAGGCCATAAATATGGCCAAATGTCTGAACGCGGTTTCTGGGACCTCTCCACGGCGATCCTCATCCACATGGTGGCACTTTGTGTCAACGGGTGTTTATCGCTTGTGTGATGTCCTGGTGGGGTAGAAAGTCAGTCAGAATGTTGCCCGGTCGCAGTTACTGCCGTTTGAAGGTTTACTGTTACACGTTTACATATTTTCATTTATTTACATACTTTGTATCATCATCATCATGTAGCAGGTCCTTTGCAGAACATTGCTCTCATCACGGTCTGCCTGAAAGAAACTCTCTATCGCCAGTTCTCCAGCCTAATGTACTCTTATACTCAAGGAGTCACTTATATACTGTCCCATCTTCGTGTCGGTCGGCCCCTGCCCCTCCTTCCTGGTACCATGCCTTCTGCTATAATGTTTTCCAATCCGTCGTGGCGCTTGATATGACCAAAATATTTCAGCTTCCCGAGACAGGATGCTGTTTATTAGCCAATCTTCATTAATGTTCATATCTTTTTAAGATGTCAGTATTTCTTCTCTTCTTTGTCCAAGATATTCTAAGAATCTTTCTATGGCATTTCAGCTCAAAAGCCCATATTCTCTTTCTTAAGGACTGAAAGATAGTCCACGACACATCCGTATATAGCCACATGGACGATGCGTGCTCTCAAAATTGTTATATATGGTTGCGATATATTCCCATAATACCACGGACAGGGAAAATAAGAATTACTCACATTTGAACAGATCTGAACATCAAGGAATGTCGGTAATAAATAGCTTTTTTTCTCGGAAGCTGAAATATCAAGCGCAAAGGCGGATTGCAAAATAATAATAATAACAGTAAGCATGGTACCAGGAATGACGGACAGAGGCCGACCAAGACGAAGATGGATGCAGGATATAATTGACTCTTTGAAAATAAAAGTGCACGAGGAGGGAGAGTTGGCGAAAGAATCAATTTTTTTTCCTGGAATCAGCATTTAGAACGACGCTCTGCAAAGGACCCGCTACATAATGATGGTAATATATCAGTGGCAGTACCAAAGCGCAGTTTTGTCAATTTTCACCTGTGCGCCACAATATACTATAAAGCAATTCCTACTACAAAGAGAGAGAGAGCGCGCGCGCGCGCGAGAGAGAGAGAGAGAGAGAGAGAGAGAGAGAGAGAGAGAGAGAGAGAGAGAGAGAGAGAGAGAGAGAGAGAGATCAAAGTGAATTCTTACTATTCATGCAACTACAGAATATTCCATCTATTTTAATGTTGAAAAGCGATTTTCTCGAGAGAAAAAAAATTATCGAGAACGCACGTGTCTTTGGAGTAGTACCAGCGACAAGTTTGAATGTGGAACACATTTTTGTTTAAAGCCCCATGCCGGCAGTCGTCGTGGGCACCTAATATAACCTAACGGTTAAACGGGGTTTCTTATTTGAATGGTGGCACTTTGTGTCACTGGGTGTTAGTCGCTTGTTGTGAGGTCCTGGTAGGGTTAAACGTCAGTCATTCAGTGCCAACCATACGTTATATATCTGCCCCAATATGGGTCACAATTGTTATGTGTGTGTGTGTGTGTGTGTGTTTTTTTTTTTTTTTTTTTTACCCCACCCCGGCTGTCGTTAAGGGCCAAAATATAACAAAATTTGAAAAGGAGTTTCTGTGAATTTACATAGGGAAGTCTCATCCGAAAGGTGGCACTTTGTGTTGAATGTCCCATACTCATGCCAACGACATTATTTCGTCATCACATTTTCCCCCCAGACAATTCACAAACAATTCTTATTCTGTGACCTATTGTTATGGGTTACTCTTTATTAAAATGAAAAATATTGTATGCAATTTTTCTTTGTCAAAGAGAATTCTCAAGAGCTATATAAGAAATATTCTGATATACGGAAGTGAATTATGGACAATTAGATCGACATTGTCTGGAAGCAGTGAAGATGTGGTTTTGTAGACTGCGATGGCTTTCTTTTTTCTTCTATCTGGCTCGCATCATCGCACGCTTGCTGCTATCTCACAAACCGACATCACAAGACGAGCAGAAAATGGACGACTGGAAAAACAACACGATACTGTTCCAGCACTTTAATCTTCCACTCCCGGCTTACACAGCCTGCACATGAAATAGACAACTGTCCAGGCACACATTATAACTCAATTATCAACGTTTCAATTATTACCTTCAAGCAGAAAACACAATCGTCCTACACTAGCATCATGAACGAAAACACAACATCTGTCCTGACAGAAAAAATAACACGGCTCGCCGGCATCTTGCTTGCCAGCTTTTTGCCAAGTTGGACGTTGGAACAAATTCACTCAAAACATCTGTTGAATCCACACATCATCCACCGCTGTCCATGCACTCTGTTCCTGGGCCCAAACGAGACTGACTCCCAGCCCTTTTCACGATATTATATAGCCTTCAAATACCTGCTTCGTTTTTCCTGAATACTCCGTGCTCCTTCAGTTTCACGGCAGTCGTGTTTCATCATACTTCGCATGAAGTTCGACAGTCAACATTTCTCTTCACGTGAATAATTATACTCCACATAAAGTTTGACTATCAGCATTTCTTTATAATTCCCGTGAAGTTCAGACTCAACAATCCCCGTGCCGTCCCAGTTAGAGTCAAAATATTCCACTCACATTTATTACTGACGTCATCTGTCGGGCATAAATTAACTGGGAGAAAATGAGATTCACTACATAGACGAATGATGAGAATACCCTGGGTAGATAAAAAAGAGTAATGAAAATGTCTTGAAATTAACTAACTCACGAAAAGAACTGACTACCCACTGCAGAAGCAGGTACTCCACATTCTTTGGTCATGTCATGAGAATGAGACAACTGGTGTACATCGTGACGGTTGGAAAGTTTAAGCGGGAATGGGTTGGGGGTGGAAAGGGGGGGGGGGAGAGAGAGAGATACTGGACAGTTATGAAATCATAGTATGGAAGATCAACTGTGCCAGAACTGATTTAAAGGACACGAGACAACAGCTTGTGGATAGACGTAACTACCAGCGTCACACGACATGGATTGTGGAAGATCATCGGTGTCAGAATTAATTGAATGTACTACTACTATTTATTCTGTGGGTGCCGTTAGACGTCACATAGGGGTCGCATTCTATTCTCAACTCCGCTCTGTTGCAGACAGCTTTTCCGATTTCTAACACGGAGTTCAATCCAGCATTTGTGTCTCTCTTAATAACGTTCTTATGTTTCCCCTGGGCGTCCTCTTTTTCTCAGACCGTTTGTTTCGCATTTCAGTGCCCGTTTTGTAACTCTTGATTAACCTGAGTTCGCTTAGTTCTCCCCCAAAGTCCTATGTTAGTGATTCCGTCAACCATTTACTTTTTTCCTATTCTGAATGCAGTTTTAGGCTCAGAAAATATTACTCTCGTTAAAAAAAAATGTTTTACAGTAACTTAACGCTTACCACTCCTCGTTTTAACATGTAATTCAGCTATGTAAATGTGAGAAGCTGTTTTGTGTTATTAAAAATTTAATGGTAATTCATATTGAATTTCTGGCTTACATCTGTCGCCATATGTTGTTAGTTATGTGTATAAAAAAAAAAAAAAAAACTGTTGATTAGTTCAAGGGGATGAAAAGTCATCATGATTATCAGACTGGTTTTGCGACTATTGTATCACCCGGCGTCTGGGTCTCATGCATTGTGAACGTGTTTCACACGCAATTACCAGGTTCCTGGCTAGATTGCAGCACACTGTCTAGCACTGGTTTCGTCAGTGGTAACTAGAGCCGACCACTGAGGAGGCAATGTCTGTCTTCTTCTTCTTCTGTTTCTTCTGCTGCTTCTTCTTCTTCTTCTTCTTCTTCTTCTTCTTCTTCTTCTTCTTCTTCTTCTTCTTCTTCTTCTTCATCTTTTTCTTCTTCTTCTTCTTCTTCTTCTTCTTCTTCTTCTTCTTCTTCTTCTTCTTCTTCTTCTTCTTCTTCTTCTTCTTCTTCTTCTTCTTCTTCTTCATCTTGTTCTTCTTCTTCTTCTTCTTCTTCTTCTTCTTCTTCTTCTTCTTCTTCTTCTTCTTCTTCTTCTTCTTCTTCTTCTTCTTCTTCTTCTTCTTCTTCTTCTTCTTTCTTCTTCTTCATCTTCTTCTTCTTCTTCTTCTTCTTCTTCTTCTTCTTCTTCTTCTTCTTCTTCTTCTTCTTCTTCTTCTTCTTCTTCTGTTTGATTCTTCTTCTTCTTCTTCTTCTTCTTCTTCTTCTTCTTCTTCTTCTTCTTCTTCTTCTTCTTCTTCTTCTTCTCCTCCTCCTTTTTCTTCTTCTCCTTCTTCTTCTCCTCCTTCTTCTCCTTTTTCTTCTTCTTCTTCTTCTTCAGCACTCCGAGCCCTTTAGGTTCATTGCTGCAAACATCACCCGCCTCCACTCATTTCTCTGGTTAGCCTTCCCTTTCCAGTTGGTGACACTAAAAGTTTGTAGGTCTGTCTGGACATTATTTCTCCATATTCTTCTTGGTCGGCCTCGCAGTCTACGACCATTCAGATCCCTTATGTCAATCTACTGAACGTTGAACTGCCTACATAAATCATCAACAACCAAAATAAATGGCGGGTTGGTTCAGCAACATCATGTAAAAGATACGTAAATTACGTTTTTTTTTTTTTTTTTTTGAAACTATCGTACTGTTATTGCTAAATGTAGCTTGTGTTTTCCTTTATACTTATGTGCCAGATGGTCTCTCCGCTAGTAGCATACAGTCTAACATGTTTCAGTACTGCTCAGCACTTTCAGGTGCCATGTTCCAGGGATACATTTCAGTGTTTCCCCACACCGAAAAGTTTTCATTTATGGTGGTAAATTTGGTTGTGCCTTGTGCTTAGTTTGAATACAATATTTTGTCCCCCCCCCCCCCCCCCCCCCCCCCCCCCCCCCCCTCCCTCTCGACGTTCGAGGAATTGAGTCTTGGAGAGAAAATCAGAGGTGGGTAACCAGCCATTTTTTTATTTTTCATGTATTAATTTCTTTCTTGTGCAGTTACGCTAGTGAAATGAATGACAGACAAGACCAAAGCCAATAAATAAAATACCACAACAGACTTACTTCTTGAGCGCAGTATCAAACATTTCATTGCCAACAGACTCGTAAACCACGTCTATGCCTTTCTGTCTCACAAGAGAATGAAACACTTATCTTAGAAAACATTCATTTCTAAACTATGTACACACAGCATTCACATACTGATATTCTGCAATAACTCTTGCAGTCACAATCAACGTCTGAATGGTTGCATCCCTTGATTTCCTTAGAGAGTATAACGTGATCTCGTAATTATAAACTGGTTAGAACATACAATAGTTTTTTTAAACATTAGAATAGGAATAAAACCAGAAGAGATCGAATGAGAAACGATATGATCACAAGAACTTTTAGAGCAACATTCATCCTCAAATTTATTGAGAAACAAAGAATGAAATGATTAGGCCATCTAATGAGAATGAAATCAACGATGCCAGCAGTAAGAGCATATAATCTGAAAATCGAAACATCAAGAGGCAGGGAAAGACTGAGAAGAAGATGGGTAGATGGACACCTTGAGACTGCATAACATCATGGCATATCAAGCCACTGAGCGCACCCTGGCTCGGCTGCCATTCTCTTTTCTGATTACATGGTTAGTGATGTCGCCATGAACTGTGCAGGCTGGGGTTTTTTTTTTTTTATATTTGCTGTGACACAACTAAACCATCGCTTACATATAATTGAACCCGGGTTTGCCGCATGAGAGACCGGCGTTCCAACCATTCAGCCAGCCGGTCTCCGACAACAGAAACATTGAAACACACTGTTTATGTCACAAAGGTCAACATGAGATGAAATTAAAAACCTCCAAAATGAAATATCCCAATCATACCTCATTTTTACCCCCCCCCCTTTTCCCCCCCCCCCCCCCCCCCGCCCCCAATATATAGTCATACTTTTAAAGGAAACGAATTTTTGTGAAACAGTTAGTCGAGTATCCTTTGTAGTGCATGGGCTGTGTGGTCTCAAGGCAGTATGTCCGCCTCGAGTTCTAGAGGTTCCGGGTTCAATCCCCGGTAAGGGCTGGGATTTTTTCACGTGGACTTGGACTTGTGGTGAGATCGGACGCCCGTGTGTATTGTTGCGCACTTAAAAATCCCTTGGCAGTTGGAAATCGAAAAGAGTAGCCTAACAGTGTTGCCCAGGCACAATTTAGAGTTTAAAATCTCCTAAAAGTTCTTCAGGATCCTCGCCGGTGCTACAGAGCTTGTGCACTGTGCTGAGCTTCTTTGGTCTCAGACTTGAGTTAGAAAAGAACGAAGCATAAATGGGTTATTATCATGTGCCATGATGTTGATCCGTTGTTCAAACCTCAGACTTCAAACCTTTGTAGTACAGGACGTTGCAGAACCAGCCATAGCATTTTTTGCTGTTTGTGATATTATTAGGCAATTTTATATTCTGTAGTTTTCCATTGCCACTGATCTGGATACCATAGTTGAATTCAGGGCAAAGCCATCTGCTTTCAAATCGTCCGCAGCTGAAATTTAATTAGGTATATCCAAGTTACAAACATTGGTCACATCACTTAGGTCACAGATGCGAGAAATGTGTTGACTAGTTTTTCTCATAACGTGTTTTTGCAAGGATGTTTATAGAGCCATACCACGCAAATTTCTACAATTAAAGAGTTAAAGACTTACCGGATACTCTTTGGACAGAACTTCATCTAAAGACTCCTTTCTGTAGTTCACTGCTCGATCACAGCCAATGCTCTGTACAGACAGATAATAGAAAGTATATTTTCTCCAGGTCATTTCTGTATTTTGGGAAATGAGCAGGCAGATAGACTGTCTGGCTCTGCACCACTTGGTGGTGAATTGATGTATGATAAGTTAGATATTGTGAGGGCCCTTTGGGAGCGAGTGAACAGTGCTTAGGCGCAGATAGATCATTATGGTCTAAGGATAACGGCGTTGCGAAGAGTTACTAGGGGATCTGGCAACACTCAGGGGAAGGATGAGACGGATATACAATCAGACGGTTACTGGTACTATCGAAATTGGAACTCTTCGCTTTCTGCTAAAGATGGGGATCGAGCACTTATGGAAGTGTCCCGATTGTTGCGATATCAATTCTTAATTCAACATTCAACAATATTCAACTCAGAAGGTTTTCGCACCAGCATTAACTCGGTGATTTCTTGGGTAGCTATTTATGAAGCGCAGAAACCGGGACAATGAACTAGCAGTCAGAGACTAGGGATGTGGATGTACAGCAGAAATTGTCGTATTTCATGGGGACAACAACAGTAAAAAGGTGTTGAAAAGAGTGAAGACAGGGATGCTTCAAGCAGAGTGGCAAGCTTCACGGGTGGTTAGCATACTTTGGATCTTTTCCCCAGGCCATGCCGGCGTGTTGGCTAATCAACAAACAGACAGATTGGCTGGATTTGCACCACTGGGTGGTAAATTGATACATGACGAGGCAGATGTGGTCAAGGCCCTTTGGGAACAAGCAACGGAATCAGTAGAGAAACATAATTATTATTGCCTGGAGAGAATGAGGCACCTGGGTGTAACCTGAGGGTCTGGACGGCTCACTACACTCAGAGGAAAGGCAAGACGGACTTTTAACTAGATTGTGACCGGTACCATCAGTACTGGAACTCTGCGCTGGCTGCTGAAGATGAGGACGGAACATGCATGGGAATGTCCCAAGTGCTGTGATGTCAATTCTTGACTCAACTTAACTCAACTCAACAGTAAAACTGAGTTTTTATTTTGAAACACCGGAAGGAAGGAGATGGTTGCTGAGATAGACACATTAGATAGCTAAGATAAATGACATACTTCTTTCTGCCTCTTCTTCTTCTGCCTTTATATCTCCCAATGGAGCATAGGCGCTCAACCAACTCACACCAAGTCGTTCTAACCTTCACTATCTCATGCATCTCTCCACACGTCTTTCCCATCTTTTTTAACTTCTCTTTTTAGCTCCTTTCTTAATATTTTGTTTTCCGTTTTTTTTTCGGGAGGGGGGGGGGGGGTCTTTTTTTTAATGTGCCTCTGCGGGGTCCAGTGCCGACCTATTCTAGTTGTATTGTTCTCAGGCTTTCTCGGCGTGTGTCCTATCCAACGCCATGGTCTTTTCTTCACCTCTTTGTCCACGGAAACTTGTTTTCTTGTTTATTTCTCTCTCAAACTCTACATAAGTGATTCTAATTATATCATTTAATTTCCCCTTTTCTGCGCAGGTACCAGTTAATGAATTTTTGTAGTTTATCACTAATTGCCTTAGCTGTTCTCCGTGTTTCCGCTTCATACAAAAAAAAAAGTACTGATTTGACATAAGAATTAAAGATTTTAAGTTTAGTATTAGTAATAATTTCTTTTGACCTCCACAAATTTTCTAGTGATATGAAAGCTCCTCTTGCCTTTTGAATTCGTATTTCAATGTCTCTATCAGTTTCCCCGTCTTTATCTACATTACTGTCCAGATAGATGTACTACACCACGTCTTGAAGTGGGATACCATTAAAAGAAACCACATTACTTTTTGCCTGGTTTATTCTCATTATCTTTGTCTCACGACGGGAAAACAAGTCTGCTGGATGTCAAAACCAAATTAAGAATTGGCTTCTGGAATGTAAGAACCATGTTTGAAACGACCAAAACCGCCCAAGTAATTGAAGAAATGCAGAACTATAAACTGCATATTCTTGGAATTAGTGAAAGCAGGTGGACAAGGTTTGGACAATCCACAACAGGTAAAGGAAAAGATGGAAATGGCTTGGCCACGTTATGAGAATGAATCCTGATACACCTGCCAAAACAGCTCTCACGTGGAACCCAGAGGGAAAGAGAAAACAGGGGCGCTACAAAAAACAAAACAAAAAAGAAGAAGAAGGAGAAGAACGACGGAAAGTGACCTGAGTGAGTAATGTGGTCAGCATTACACCGGCTGTATTTACTTCCTCAGGACATATAACCTGGTACCCACTTTAGACTGGGTCGATCTGCGACGCCCCGTACTATGATAAAAATGCATGCAGCCAGCAGTGGGTTTCGATCACGGTATGTCGGTATTACGAGTCCGACTTGCAACGCCCAAGCCGCGGACGTCGCTGGAGACGGCGTGCTTACGGGAATATCCAAAGTGTTGTGATGTACTTTCTAACTTGACCCAAATGATGGACTGGAAGAATTTTGCGTGAATGCACCTTGAAAACGCAGGTCACATAGTTCTTAAAGGCTCCTTACAGCCAATTTTCAATACGAAGACGACACTTGATGCGGGCTACTGCTTAGAGGTTAGTTGCGTATCCTTTACAGGATGTTGCAGAACCAACCCTAACAGCTCCCGGCTGTTGTGTGGTTTTTCTAGGCAAATTTACGTCCAGTAGTTTGCCATTGCTTTCTGAACAGGCGGCTTTATTGATACCAGTGTCGAAACAAACGCAAGGCGCATGGCCCGCAAATGGGATCGAACCCGGCATCCCGGCATTACGAAGCGTTCGCATCGACTTAGCCACAGAGCCGACACTGCTTAGAACGAGGTCAAATATAAATTAATTTAAAATTGTGTTTCTCTGTCATAATAGTTTCAATACTGACTTTCAGAAAAGCGATTTTTTCATCACTGGAGCATGTCCCAATAACATGGCAACCTGCCAGTTTGGCCAGTTGAACCTGCAAGAAAAAAGTGAATATTTTGAAGGGAAAGAAATCACAACATATAATATAAAATAATTAATATATATTCAATATATGTTTAATTAAATATATATCAAATATATATATATAATAATTAAAAATCAAGTTAACTCTATTCAAAACAAAATGACAGAAATTTGTAGAGACTACCCAAGTAAACTGTGTTGTATCCGCAATGCATGTTGGAGATGGTGTATCCACTGTTCTCCTTGTGGGAGCCGTTCGCGGGATGTTCAGATCTCTTCCTCGCGGAGTCTCGCATTTTCCTAAGTCACCAGCACAGTCTACTAGGACTCTCACTAGGCCATTTTTAAAGTTGCGTATCCGTTACAGGACGTTGCAGAACCAACCCCAGCATTTTTTTTTGCTGGTGTCGTTTTTCTACGCAAATTTACGTCCAGTAGTTTGCCATTGTTTCTGGGCGGTCAGCTTCTTGATACCACTGTCGAAACCAACGGAAGGCCCGCAGCTGGGATCGAACCCGGCTACCCGGCATTACGAAGAGCGTTCTCAACGCCTACGCCACAGACGCCGACATAAGGACATTACCACAATATAAATAATGTTTTTAAAAATACTAGTTGCGCCCCAAAGATAAATGACAGAGCCATCTACATTGTTTACAAATCTATTAAACAGACTCAAGAAAACAACCCTGCCATACATTATTCATTAGGCACACTAAGGACGTGTTTGGGGAACCGCAAAAGGAAGGGGGCACCACATAAATGTTCAGTAGAATTGAAGCTGAGCGTGTTTAAGCATAGAAGTAGATGTGTTACACAAGATTAGATTGAGGATCTGATCAAAAACATAAGGGGGGGGGGTTATTGTAGGACAAAAACTTTACAAATATAAATAAAATGGAAGTATACAAAAATTATACATAACGTTCCATCTTACTGTGGGTTTTGTTAATTTTGATTTTTAAAAGTTTTGTATTTTATGTTTTATTATTGTTTAAATTTGAATTGTGAATCCTGGACAATCGGTAGGCAGGCCAAATAATTTCTAGAGGCCTCAGAGGTGTGGTTTTACAAAAGAATGCTTAAAATACCTTGGACAGCCAAAAAGAGCCACCAGGAGGTTGTGAAAGAGGCGGAAGCCCGAAGAAAACTTATCACAGACATCAGAAGGAGACAGTCATCGTTTTACGGCCATGTTATGAGACGAGGGAAAATAGAACATGTTGTGACCACTGGAAAGATCTGTGGAAGGAGGGATAGAGGAAGACAATGAGAGAAGATGCTTGACAGTCTTGTTGCATGGCATGGATGTGTGTCGGTACACGAACTGATACATGCTGCAGGAGATCGCAGATTATGGAGAGGCATGATCGCCTACGCCAGTCGGCAAGGCACCTGATGATGATGATATTTGAATTACATTTATATGGGGTTACCGGGAATGTCTCACCACATGGTGCCACCAGGAGCATAGTGGCCGCATTCTAATCTGTGAATGCCGAGTGACCATTTACTTTTCATTCTTGTAAGTGGTTGTCGTGGGGCCACAGCACGTTGATTAGTCCAGGGGCCTAAAATGCTGTTAAGACGACTCTGGCACTAACATCATATAAGTGCTGGGGGAGGTAGGGTGCAGCCAAATCTGTTAAGTACTTAGGGCTTCAAATTTTCTCAAACCGGCCCTATCAGAACCTATATTAGGAGGTAAGACAGCCGAAAATGTCACCAACTTAAATTAAAGGACTTGAAGACAGGACACAGACATTCAAAGATCAACAACACGACACACTAGTAGATACAGTAATGGAGAGGAGGGGGTGGGGGGGGGGGGTTGAGGGATGCTTGCCTCTCCACCACTATGGCGGAAATAGAGAAATTAGCCTGGTGCGGAATCTGTCAACTAAAAAAAAAAAAAAATGAAGCCAGCACCATATGCCACAAACACTTCACGTAGAAGAGATGGAGCCTTAACTCTTTTTGTTTTTTGTTTTTGGTGGTAACTTCTCTTTACATATTGTAGGCATTCGGAACCTACGCTGCGGGGAAATCATTTGGCCTGGCCATTCTAAGACAGCCGCAAATATGTGATTGATCAAACATTGCAGGCTCATTGTTAGGCTGATAATTGTTATATGGCCCACGAATGTTCTTTCTCCTCTTAACGTTCACCAGCTGTAACTTCTGGTTGACAGTTACGGTTGTTCATCCACTTCCGGGACTTTTTGTTTCGTTCCAGAAATTGGGTTTTGGGTGCACATCCGTTTTACAGAGCAGGCGCATGTGTACACAGATAGTCTGTTTCTCGCTCTCATGCATATGCAATTCGACTTTAAATGAAACCCGATAATTAGTGTCACCTGCTTGTTAGATGGATGGGTTTGGTCCTCCGAAATGGGGCCCTAAATCCAAACGAGGAAGGGCTGCAAATGATGTTACAAATGTCCAAACAGCAGTTAGCACCAGCAGGGAACTCAAAGTCAGATTTTTTAGAGCATTCGTCGTGCCTGCATCAACACACGGATATGAGTCGTGGAATATTCCACAGACGTTGAGAAAAAAAAATAGATGCTTCTGAGCTGAAATGCTATAGAAATATTTTCTGAATACCATGGTCAAAAATGCAAAGGAATACTGAGATTCTAAAAGATCTGAACATCAAGGAAGATTGCCTTATAAACAGCATCTTGTCTCGGGGTCTAAAATAATGGGGGGGGGGGGGAGGGTTACAGCAGAAGTTAAGGTACCAGGAGGGAGGGGAAGGGGCCCACAAACACGAAGATGGACACAAGAAAAAAGTGACTCCTTAGATATGAAAGCACGAGGCGGTAGCGCTGCGTTTTCCTTCAGCCAGACCGTGATGAGAGCAACGTTCTGCAGAGGGCCTGCTACATGATGATAGTGAAAAGAACTAGACATTAAAGAAGATTACCTAATAAACAGTATCTTGTCTCAGAAACTCAAATATGTAGGCACTGTCAAGCTCCACGGCTGATGGTACCAGGATAGAATAGCAGGGACCGCCCCTCTCGAAGATAGATAAATACCGGATATAAATGACACCATAGTTAGGAACGTGCACAAGGCGGGACCGTTGGCGACTGACCGAGTTACTTTCAGGCAGACCTCGATGAGAGCGACGTTCTGCAAATGACCTGCTACATACATGATAAGGAGATCGCAGAAACAGCCCCCCCCCCCTTTCCCCCTTTCCCCTCTCACCATTTCTCCCCCCCCCCTCACCCCTGATAACTGAGTATGTGGTGAAAAAATGATGACACAACTGACAGATGCAATGTTGGTTCTACTAAGCGAAAGGTCATTACTTACAGCAAACTGCCCTGTACCACCAGCAGCGGCTGAAAGAAAAGTGATTGAGATTTGGCATCAAATGTACTCCTAACACATGTCATACATTTGTGTACATGTTTATATCTACGGGGTTATTACATCTTAAAAAAGAATTTTTTTTTTTTTTTTTTTTGGGTAACTTGAGTTCGGATTGCTAGAATAAATAATAAAGCACTCTTAACTGGTTTAGCAGAGTATAGGAGCTCAGAACGGTACAGTAATTTTAGTCCACCCTAAACAAAGGGAACTCCCAAATCCCCAGTGAAGTCCATTATTCTAGGGATGTCATGTGTTGTGTTGTTGTCAGCGACTGTGAACACCTAACGAAGTAATGTCATGAAACTTCTAGAATAGTGGACTGGACTGAAGTATACTGGTTTCCCTTTTCTGGGGGCATCTAAAATGGTAGTACCCTATAAACATCACAGCACACGAGATGTTAGACCCTAACTTCAGCAGACAGCACAGAGTTTTGGTTCCGCTGGTACGAGTAAAAGACCTCTGTTCCATGTCTTCAGGCGAATTTGGCCAATAGTGGTAGACATATATTTGATCAACCAATGGCACTTTGCGAGTGATTTGATCAACATCACACCTTACATCGGCGCTTACTTTTCAGGACTTTAATTAGTACCCACTCAAGGCGTCTTGCCTTTCCTCTGAGTGTTGAGTATCGACTACGTCCGTTGGTCCTGGTGGGGTCCAGGAGCATTAGAATAAGAGCTTTGCTGGAGCAGTGTGGGGGATGGGAGGCGTGATTGGCGATTAGTAAAGCCAGCCCGACCAGGCGTCTCAGATAAGGGTGCCTATATCTTTCGACGTCAACTAGCTTATGTTGTTCTGTAATTATTTATTAAAGAGTGTTGTGATTGTGTGTGCTCCGGGGAGGGTTCTGTTTAGTGTGTTTGGAATAGATTGTCTGTCACAGGCCCGTACCACGAGCCACGTACCAGCAAGGTCGATCAGAGGTCAGTGACACTGTTTATCTGCTCCCTTTGTTTTTTGACCACATTTAGCTTTTCGTGCGTCAATTTACTATCCCAACACACCTGAATGACCTGAGAAAATCTCCACAGGACGCTAGATATTCTGGATCTCTGTGGGTCTGTTACAATCACAACATATATGTGCAGTTATCCCTCAATTGTTATAATAGAGAACAACTGGCATTTTTTTAAGTAGCAACGGAACAGGCGTGGTACATCTAAAAAAAAAAAAAAACTAGTCTTTTCCGGAGAAAAGGGGATGTATGGCTACCCTAAGTTTTTACAAATCAGTGGTTGACCTTGTGATTCTGTGGTGCCAGCTGGCCAATCACTACACTCCTGCACCAGTAAATTGCTTGAAATGAATTCTGTCCGTATTCCATAGTTGTGGATTTCAAGTTGTACGATAGATAGGGCCAATAAGACACCTTTTTTTTTTGGGGGGGGGGGGGGGGTGCCTATTGACCATGTTCAAAGTGTATTCATGGCGAGGCGCAGACGCCGTCTGGAGGTGACAGGTTCAATCCCCGGCACGGCTACTATAGCTTTCAATTTTTATTTTGTCTAGTGTGCTCTTCTATCTATCTACTTCTTTCTATGAGTGCCGATCAATACACTTTTTGTTACTTAATTAATTCAGCGTGGATATGGCCTTATGCAAGAGTGATAGTTGCTCGGACACTTTGACCCACTCCTCCAATATTTCCAAGCATGCACGCGTGTCGAATTGTTTTCCACTTGTGGGTTTAAATGTGTTCAATGTATGCAACACTAATGATTACAAATTCAGTTTACACTTTCTACTCTAATGTTGACACAGTTTACCTGTGACAAGTACCACTTTGCCGGATCTTAAATCTGCCTCCTATGGAAGAAAAGCATAGCATTATAAATCTGTTGTTTATCAGTTCTGCAACATCCGTCTATCCCAATCAAAAAGAAAACATAGTAATATAAATCTGTAATATACCAGTTCTGCAGCATATACCCGAATTTTTGGTTATTTTGAAGCCCCACCATGATAGCTGTCAGGGGCCCTAATTATAACTTAACGGTTGAACGGAGTTTCTGGGACTTCTCCACGGTTGAACCTCATACCAATGGCGGCACTTTGTGTCACCGGGTGTTTATCGCTCAGCATGATGTCCTGGTGGGGTAAAAAGTCAGTCGTCTGCAAAATTCGTCTATCCCAACCGAGAATTATTAAATGAAATCTTTTTTCCAAGTTTAGGTTACCTGTGTCCAGACTTGGACATTAACCAAAGAACCCGACAGAAAACTAATTACATGTGAAATGAGATGAATGAGAAAGTGTGGGAACAAAACCGGAAGGGATTCTGTGAGAAACTAACCGATAGAGGAAACAAATTGAAAAATACCTATTGTTATATTCATTGGAAAATATAAACTGAAATGCTTCGGCCAGTTAGTGAGAATGAATTCGATGATGTTCGATTGTGTCGGCGGAGGCGGGGAGAGAGAGAGTTAGAGAGAGAGAGAGAGAGAGAGAGAGAGAGAGAGAGAGAGAGAGATTTGCGGTGATTTGCGGTGATGTTATGCAGTCTCAGGGTGTCATTGACTCCTTCAATTCTTGTTCTTCTCGGTCTTTAACAGCCTCTTGGTCTTTCGATTTTCAGGTTGTACGCTTTTGCTGCAGGCATCGTTGGTTTCATTCTCATCAGTTGGCCAAACCATTTCATTCTTTGTTTCTCAATAAATTTGACGATGGGTGTTGTTCCAACAGTTTTTGTGATCACCGTAGTTTCTCACTTGATTTTTTCTGGTTTTATTCACAGCAATTCTCAAACATCTAATCTTACAGATGTTTAGTTTTCTTTCGTGTTCTTTTGTCAATATCCATGTCTGAGACTGGTAACCTAAAGTCGATATAAATATGGTATTTATAATTTGTCTTTTTGTCTCTATTGGTATAGCTGGGTGTTTTAAAATTGAAGCAAGTTGATTCGTGGCGTTGTTGGCTTGTTGGATTTATGTTTCTATCTCTTGAATCTGAAATCAAGTAATTAATTAAAATTGAACTGTTTGCTAAATACTAAGAGGTTTAATAAAGATGCTAGAATCAAGCTCATTGTGACGATTTTATCCAGGACAACTGAACTACCCCGGTGACGGTGGGAAAACTGGAGGGCAAAAATGCATAGACAGACCGGGAAAGATGATGCTGGAAGGTTTGACATCATCGCATGCAAGATGATTTGTGTTAGAACTAATATGAAGAACACAAGACAGAAGGCTGGGGGTGGACATGGCTACTAACGCCGCGCGCCATAAACTGTAAGAAGAAGATGCAGCAGCAGGGGAAGAAACAGTTCTATTTCTTCCCTGTGTGGGTTATGGGGCTCTATTGTAGGTGAAACAAGAATAGACCCACTGCCCCCCCCCCCCACCCCCAGCTAGCATGTTGTAAGAGTCAACTGACTGGGGGCTTCCTTTGAAGTTGAAGTGCATCTGCCAGAGGGGCAAAGAATCAACAAAACTGACCAAATCAAAGGGAAATAACGCAAACTGGAAACACCAAGTAAGACGAGGGAAGACATGCACAAGATACAACAGGGTGGAGGACGAGCGGTCTGATTCGGATGGAAGCATTAGGCCAGAAATGGCACAGACACTAGAATTCAGTCACGAAAGTGACGCAAAAAACCCAGACCACAAATATAGGCGGAGACTGCTAGCAGCCTAGGCTAGCTAGCAGCAGTCAGAACGTGGTCGAGCATTTTTTTTTTTTCAAAAGGACTAGGGCTAGGACAATCTGCATACAAATAAGTCAGATGTGGACGCAACACTCAGGTTCTGGAACAAAAGATTTAATTCCAGAACTGGAGTCTCCAGCCTGTGAACGCAAAGAAGAAGTTATATTACTTTACTGAAAATGTTTGGTTATCACACAGTCACACAGGCTTTAATCAGCTAACCGAAGCTAAAACATTACAGCGCACGGGTCACCCCATAGTTGCTCCGTTCCTGTACCGACGAAAAAAAAACCAGAATGCCTGTACACTGTCCCTTGTAATAAATTTATAAATTTATTAAACCAGACTTAGTCTCAGCAAGGCCAATAATAGCATACACAAGCATTGAATGCATAAGGCAGTCGTCAAAAGTGCCAGCACAAACAGTCAGAGGCTAGTCATATAGTTAGTCATCGATGACAGCAGCAGTTACGAGTCAGTAGTTGCACTTAATTGCATAAGGCACCACAAATTACGTGGCAACATGGCACTCACCATTGTCTGGATCTGCAACTCACGACACAAACAACACAGTGTCATGTTGTGCACTCAACACAGTAACTGGTCGAAGGTTAGGCTTTCATGAGGTCTATACAAATATCAAAGCATAACAACACTGCAACCTACCGTACCTGTCATAAAATGCAATGATACCAGGTTGGTGTGTTAATAACTGTTCCAGTACTGACATTCTATGTTTTTCATCTTTTGGATGGCAATGCTGCTTCTTCTTCTTTTGCCCTACTGCTCACGATGTAAAGCATCGAGGGAAGGAATTAGATGTTGTCTCCTGTCTTTTGCTAGAACCAACCCTAACAGCCCCTGCTGTTGTGTGGTTTCTCTAGGCACATTTACGTCCAGTAGTTTGCCATTGCTACTAAACTGTCGGATTTCTTGATACTACTGTCGAAACCAACGCAAGGCGCGTGGCCCGCAGCTGGGATCGAACCCAACATCCCCGCATTACGAAGCGTTCGCATTGACTTAGCCACAGAGCCAATGCTAGTTGTATAGCTTGTGATAATTCCAAACTGCGTTTCTGTAGTGTATATTTTACTCCCCATCCCTCTCTTTCTTTTTCGGCTTCTTGGCTTGTCGTCTGCTGTTCTCATGCAGTACGCGCTCTCTCTGCTAGCTGATTTTGTTACATTCTGACCTCACGATCAAAGACGTTGATTCTTTAGTGTTCTGTGAAATCATTTACTAGTAATGTGCCTACCATTGTTCTTAGATCTTCGTTTGAACGATCTTCGAACGATGGTAAAGCAACAGCGACAAATCCTGAACGCATTTTTCATCGGCATGAAACAGTTATATAAGTCACTGTGCGGCTACAAAATTCGCAAATTGACAAATGTGATTAAGGGACCTTTGGATTAAACGTGTCTCCGTACGTAGGTTCCGGGAGAAGGGCGTACTTCACAGAAAATGCATAATTCACGTTTACAAGCATGCAACAAGAGACAAGTTTGTTCACATTGGATCCAATGTTGAATGTTGAACTAAGAATCGACATCACAGCACTCGGGACACTCTCATAAGTACTCAGTCCCCATCTTCAGCAGCAAGCGAAGAGTTTCCAATTCCGATGGTACCAGTAACCGTCTGATTGTATATCCGTCTCATCCTTCCCCTGGGTGTTGAGCGTCAGCCAGATCCCCTGGTAACTCCTCGCAACCCCTTTCTCCTTAGACCGCAATGATCTATTTGCGCCTGCGCACTGTTACCTCGCTTCAAAGGACCCTCACAACATCCAGCTTGTCATACATTAATTCACCACGAAGTGGTGAAGAGCCGGCTAGTCTATCCGTCTGCTCATTTCACAACACACCAGCATAACCTGGAGAAAATATCCAAAGGGTGCTAACTACCCAGGACTTTTGAAGTGATGCAAAGGCAGCCTAGATGGGAACAGCAACACTAAATGCCAGCAGCACTTTTAATCAAGAGGAGAAGAAGAATATAAACTTCAACAGATGAGGTTGGACGACCAAACAGGTACTCACCTTTTCTAAGGCAATAGAAGCTGTCAGGCCACTGACCATGAATGAGAGATATGCCGGATCAGTCGATGGAACTGGTATAGCTATCGACTCATCCACTACCTGTAGATGCAATATATATATATATATATATATATATATATATATATATATATATATATATATATATAGAGAGAGAGAGAGAGAGAGAGAGAGAGAGAGAGAGTTTGTGTGTAAGTGAGTAAGTGTGTGTGTGCGCGCGCGTGTGTGTGTGTAGTCTTACTTCACTTTGTATACAGAGCAAATTTGAAAAACCCAAAAATACATGACGTCATGAAAAATGTGCTATGAAAATCCGGTACTTAATTTATAACTTACCCCTGACGTCACGACAACGTCACGGGAGACATCCCAATAAATTCTAGGGTGTTCAGGTTGTAGTTTCTCGCGATTTATCTACAGCCAAGTTTAGGGTTAGGGTAAGGGTTAGGGTTAGGGTTAGGGTTAGCATTAGAAGACACTAGATGAACACTCAAAAAAGCACCACACAACAGCACACTTCCACCCCTTGAAATAATGGACTGTCAGGTCAGCTGTGGATTTCCCACGGGGATTTCGTGTTTGGGGTACGTTATAAATTAAGAACCGAAAATCCTTAAATTAGTTTTCAATAGCTACTGCTATATTCTAACGGTATTTTGGGGACTCAGGAAAGTGTTTCACTCGCTGCTGATGGGAATCTAAAACATTCTGGCCGTTAGTCTAACAGCTACGCCATCGTGGCCCCCGTAACTGAAGCTGCACTATCCGATGGGCCGGATTTCGACTTTAGGCGACCCCATGCTAGTAAAGCCTTGGCGTTCCAACACCTGCTGATCTGAGAAAACCGTAAAATTCGGGGTTTAAAATATATGGAAGAGGAGCAGCTGGCCGAGCGGTTACAACGTCGGCCTGTCAAGCGGGAGACCCGAGTTTGATCCCTGCTACGGTGACAGAGTAGAAAAACCATCCTTACTTGCACAGTTGCGACAGCACTAGCTATACGGCCTTAAATCATCCGGCTCATGCCCCCCCCCCCCCCCCACCCGCCCCACATTTATTCCCCTCTACACCGCCGTTAAAAGCTGTAAATACAGATAGTAGTGACAGTAAAAAGGTTAGTTGCGTATCCTTTACAGGACGTTGCAGAACCAACCCCAACAATCCCTGACTGTTGTGTGGTTTTTCTAGGCAAATTTACTTCCAGTAGTTTGCCATAGTGACCGTAAATAGTGGAAAAATATTGTTTACGTTTTAGTAAACGAAACAAACACAAACAAAAAAGAATATATTTACTAAACCATAGACAGTATGTGGTATAAACCTCTAAAAGGCCCGGTTACAAGGAACTTTGAAATTTAAATACATTAAAACACAACTGTATTTGGGGGGGGGGGGTGGGGAGAGACTAGGAAGATGTTGCTGAGGTCCGTGCAGTTTGCGAAATCCAAAAGCATCATCTTTTGCCCGAACCCAGTACTGGCTATCAGTTATTATTTCATACTCACAGTGTAGTCGGCGAAAGCTCCAAAATTGCAGTAAAGCACAAACTCCCCAACATTATAATTGGAATCTGGTCCGACAGCAGCCACCTCACCGAGACCCTGTTGACACATTAGGCAAAATGATGGTGCTAGAAGAACAACAACATTCAGCCTATTCATCAATTCTCTAAATACAAATATGTGTCTATTGTACCAGGTCGAATGGCTGGGGCCGTCGCCACAAACTGTGCAGGTTAGGATATTTGTATTTAAAATATCTCAAATCCTTTACCGATGCTCGAAATCGGACCATCTGCACTGAAGGCCAGCAATCTAACCACTTTCCAGCCGCTCGTCCAGTAAAGGCAGTACAAACGTATAAAGCCACTACTCACCCCCCCCCCCCCTTTTCTCTCTTCCCCCCCCCCCCCCCCCACATTCGCTGTTTGTCCACCTCAAATGTTACGGTTAACAGTAATTACATTGGTGGGGAGGGGGGGGGGGTAGATCTTTCAAAGTGTGAATAAATTGCTCCAATAATAACCAAATAGGGAGATCGTCATCAAAACGGTATTCTACTTTAGCAAAGCAACACACACACAAGCATTAATATATGGCGGAGTAAGCGAAAGTCTGTTAACATTCTGTGGGACGAAAATGTGTGTTTTTAAATATCAGTGTGTTCAAATAAGGATGATCCTGCGACAGGTCCAGCAAACCAGTAGGAAATTTATTAGTTCACGGCAAATTGCTCAAGAATTATGGAGGAATTTGAAGAAAAAGCGTACTTCGTGCCAAACTAGGACACTATCTAAAGCCCATATACACAAAATCACCACCTGCGAGATGAGGTGCCTGAGAAAAGCAGCCAACCTAACCATACGAGATCGAGTGAATAATGAAACTATCAGGCAAATTGTGGGAACGACTCCTTGTACTAGATTCATCGAGAAACAGCAGGTCAAGTGGTTTGGCCATCTCGTTAGAATGCAGCAAGATCAAATACCATCACAAGCACTACATCTCAGAAGATCAACTACAAGAGCAAGAGGACGGTCGCGGAAAAATGGATCGACAACATTAAAGACACTCTACGCCTTCACGGCAAGACAATAGCCAGTGGCAGCCAACGTGCACTGGATCGCAAATTATTCCTCCCCACGTCGCTTAACGACAGAAGTGGTTTATGATGATGATGATGATGATGATACACACACACACACACATTTGGGGAAAACTGGCAAGATTGGTGGAAAGAGAGCAAGTGGAAGGCAAATAGTGAAATACCGTGATTAGTGATTAGTGATTAGAAAGGATTATCATCACAGCACTCCTGACAGATCCATAGTTGCTCCGATCTCCTCCTCAAAAGCTCCACAAATATAAAACGACTAATGACGCCTGTTCTGTGATGGTTAATGAAACGTCTTGTCCTCTTAGTGAAATGTTCATTTCTTGCAGCTCCAGGCTGCACCCCCATGCCTAGACAGGGATATGGAGTCATGTCCTTTGGCGTGCCCCTCGGCACGGTAAGTGCAGCGCATGGCATTGATAACATCACCTCTGTCCAGTACTGGGCCAGACATAGCAACTGCAGTGTCGGCAAGATAGTCTGCACTCTCGTTTTCTTGAACACCTCGCATGACCTGGCACAAAGATATTTGTGAAGTGCTTAGTGTTGCAATCCATTCTTGCCTGCTAAATCCAGCTTGGATTTTGTAAAGCATTTTCATCGAGTCACTAAGAAAGCATAGGCCTGAGTACTAAGCCATGCTAAAGCCCTTGTTACAGCCATAGTTTCCATTGTAAGGCTACTAGTTGTAACAGCAAAGGCGCCATTCATCTCCTTGATGGTGTTCCCCCTTGAGCTTACCGTGAAGGCCCATGCACTTCGCTTGCCCCTAATTACTGACTCATCTGTGTAAGCTATAGCATCACCTTCATCTGTGTTTCCGTCGATCAGCGTTCTGACTAAAGTGTCAACAATGCCCGGAATCTGCTCTCTACAGCTTCCATCAAGTGTGATATGGACTGTAATAATAATGTTTGGAGAGAGAGGCATAATTATCCATTAATTTTTAAAATTAATGTCAGTAAGGCGGCAAACATGTTCGATGGCATCCTCAGCCCGACCCATCCAGGATTTGCCTCTTTTGAGTGTACTCTTTTTTTGCTTGAATAATTCCTCACACCGTGATGACCTGGCTATATGGATGGGGGTTAGACAAAAATATTAAACTCATCACTGATTTTGGTGATTGTGCGAGATGACGAAACAAGACAGCCTACGCTGCTTCAAAGACTCAAGCATCCTTACTGTGTGCAAGTCTTGCAGAACCTGTCCCTCTCGCCAGCAGCAGAGGGTTATTAGCTGATGAATGTGTTGAGCTGGATTGTCTTTCCCACTCCTGATTATCTTAATAGGAATTCCATCTCTGCCTGGGGCTTTCCCAGAAGCCAGTTCTTGACAACTGCATTGTTAATCATCATCATATGCCGTGCCGGTAAGCATAGGCTGTCTACCCTTTTTGGAATATACTTCTTTTGATATATGCCTTTCGAGATCAGGAGGGTGGTATATTCATCTATTCTCGATCTGACGGCAGCCTTTACAATGCCCTTAGGCTGAAGACCAAAACCAGAATAAGAAAGATACTAATTAGAGCTGCTCTGCTGGTTGCAGATGATGCAGCAGTAACCAACCACTCAGGGGAGGAGCTGCAACGTTTATTGTCTGCATTTGGAAATGACTAGAAGTTCTTCCACGTGAAAAAAAAAATCCCAGCCCTTATCAGGGCACGAACCCAGACACCATACCTCGGGACAACACAGCTCCCTACAATTTAATGTGAAACTTTTGAGAACATGCACCCTTCCTGTGGCAATCTGTTGATATCAGACACGGACTTTTAATACTCCTTGCTCCAGGTTACCTAGAAGTTTGTAACTTTTTACCCTTTTAAGATATGCCTTGTATTGTACAGTATATGCTGTCCCTCTTTGTAATTCAAAGTTGGTTGCATGCTGACTCTTTGCCTTATGATATTATTTCTGATCGCTTGATAACACACCACATTAAGCTTGTCACGCACCGATTCACCACCAAGTGGTGCAGAACCACTGCTTGTTTCCGAACATGCCGGCATAAGTGAAGAAATTATTTAAAGGACGCTGACTACCGGGACCTCAGGAACGATGCTTGCCTTTCTGCAAGCCCTTGAGAACATTGGGAGCGAGTGAACGGTGCGAAGCTACAAACAGATGATTTCAAGTCTGAGGAGAATGGCGCTGCGAGATGTTACTATGGTGTCTGACCGACGCTTAACACTTAAAGGAAAGTCGAGACGGATGTACACTTGTACAGTAACTGATACCACAGGAATTTGAACTCTTCGAACAAGAGGACGGAGCGCTTATGTGAGTGTCCCGAGTTCTGTTATGTCGATTCTTAATTCAACATTCTTAATTACTCAGTCACCTCATGTCACTCCCTCAGCCTTCTTTAAGACAGATCATCGAATCTACTCGGAGTGAAGCCTAGTGAAACACGTCGGCACCGTCTTCGATGTAAAGATAGGAGACGTTGCACAACAACTTTTCACGGGAACAATCAGTAGAAGTACAATGTGGTAGCTGCTGCATCAGAGAGACTGAGCACGCACGGCAAAGTACATGTGCAGTAAGATCTATTATTATAATTTTTTTTTTATTTTCGCCCTCCAGAATTGCAATTCGTAGGCTTAAAATCTCATGGATTTGAATCAAACAGGTACAAAAAATGGACACACAGTTCAGTCGTATAGCACAGTTATATCATAGCACAGTTAAATCACAGCACAGTTATATCATAGCACAAATATATCACATCACAGCTATATCATGGCACAGTTATATCATAGCACCGTTATATCACAGCAGAGTTATAACACAGCACAGTTTAATCATAGCACAGTTATATCATCGCTCAGTTATATCACAGCACAGTTATAACATAGCACAGTTATATCATGGCACAGTTATATCATAGCACCGTTATATCACAGCAGAGTTATAACACAGCACAGTTTAATCATAGCACAGTTATATCATCGCTCAGTTATATCACAGCATAGTTATAACATAGCACAGTTATATCATGGCACAGTTATATCACAGCAGAGTTATAACACAGCGCAGTTATATCATAGCACAGTTATATCACAGCAGAGTTATGACATAGCACAGTTATATCATAGCACAGTTATTTCACAGCAGAGTTATAACATAGCACAGTTATATCACATCACAGCTATATCATGGCACAGTTAAATCATAGCACATTTATATCACAGTACAGTTATATCACAGCAGAGTTATATCATAGCACAGTTATATCATCGCACAGTTATATCACATAACAGTTATATCATAGCACAGTTATATCATAGCACGCGTATATCACAGCACATGTATAACACAGCACAGCCTAGTAACCTGTAGTCTAGAGTGGGTGAGTATGTAATTTAGATGTCTGTTTCTTGTTTATCGGCTGTAAACTCTGGCGGAAAGTCCTGGAAATGTCATCAACATCTGGACTTTGGAATTGTTTCGGGACCTGAGTATTGCGTGTGCACCCGTTTTACAAATAACTGTATGCAGATTGCTGCTTCCTAGCCTTTCAGGCAGGTGCACTCCAGCTTCGAAAGAAACACCCATAATTGGTAGCCTCGTATGGCATGCTTGTAGGGGCGGGGATCAAGACTTTCACCCAAAAGATGGCCCCTGCTCCACACATGGAAGTTACTTTGTGATAACATTACAACATCCAATGTCTTCTTCTTAAAATCTGTGCTGTATGGCGTTGGTAGTCATGTCTATCCACAGCCTTCTGTCTTGTGTACTGTCAGTTATCTTTGTCACAGATGAACCGCTATGCCATAATGTCAAACTGTCCAGCATCTTCTCTCTGTGTCTTTCTCTGCCTTTGCCTCCCCTCCAACTTTCCTACTGTCACGATGTACTCCAGTTTTCTCCTTCTCATCACATGACCAAAGAATGTAGATTGTCTCACTCTGATGAGGGCAATCACTTCACTTCGTGAGCCAGTTTCTTTCAAGAAATCATCGTTACTTCCATTGTCACTAACCTCAAATCCTGCTGGGAAAGGCGGCTTTTTCGTGGGGTCATATCTTCCAGCGGTGTAGTTCACATCTGAAGCATTTATACCCGCATACCTGCAAGTGGACAACACAAGTTAAATTAGCTGGTATTAAAAAGTAAACAGTCATATCACACAGGAATCTGAAATAATTAACTGACATCACAAGATTGGGAACAATATCATTAAGCGCCTTCCCGACTGGCGTAGGTGATCAAGCCTCTCTGCAATCTGCGATCTGCAACTACGTGTATCAGTTCGTGTGTTAACACCCTCCATGCCATGACAAAAGGTTGTCCAGAATTTTGTGAGTGTATTTCAACCAAGCCAGGACCATAGCGAGGGTTAAACACCCGGTGACACTATTCGGATGAGAATCACCCGGGTACAAGTCTCAGAAACCCGTTCAACACTTAGATTATATTAGGAGCCCTTTGTCAGAGACAAAATTTACACATTTGCGGGATATCAGGAATCTCTATTGGCAGTGGAGAAACGTCGCAAGCTAGCTTGGCTCAGGCACGTGTTGGGATTATTCGATTGCAAAGACTGTACTTCAAGGAACATTGGGAAAGGGATGGGGGGGGGTGGGGGTGGGGGGGGGTGCTGGTAGTCGAAAAAGAAGAGGACAAAGAAGAACCTGGAATGACATCAAGAAATTGACAAGACGAAGTTATCATGCATTTATTCAACAAGCGGACGACAAAAGAAAGATGGCGGGTTTTGTGAGCTAGTAGGCTTTCCCCTATACATCTACACGACTCTAACGTGTCAAGGGTTGTGTTATGTTATTTTATGTTATGTTATGTTATTAGGGCCCCCGACTACAGCGGGGATGGGGCTTTAAAATAACAAAAACTTGCGTCATATTTTAGGGCGAGATTACCATAATTAACGTCAAGAATCTACTCGCGTTGTCTTTCTCTTTCCACAGATATTTCCAGTGGTCACAACATGTTCCAGTTTCCGTCTTCTCATAGTGTGACACACACACACACACACACACAAATTATGGTTGTCTCTGATGTTTGTAATAAGTTTTCTTCGAACCGTCGCATCTTACAAAGCATCTGGGCTGCTATTTTGGCAGTTCAATGAATTCCGAGGATTCTTCTGTAAACACCACATCCGGGAACATATTCACGCATGTTTGTTTCGACCCTTAATTTTACAAACAATTGAAAAAAACAAAACAAAATATAGATACAAAATAGCAATTACATCGAGCAAACAAAGACAGGTTCTCGATTCAGAGGCCGTAACCTCGTATCTGCGTGCACTCCATTATCCATCCTTTGGGTAGTCCCCTTTCCCCTCCCCCTCAATCCCCTGTCTTCCCCCCCCCCCACCCCCTTTTCCTAGACCCGACAGATGCCATTGAAACAGTTTGCTAGGTCTAAACTAGGGCTGTACCGAATATTCGCTTCGTTTTCGCTTCGGGGCCGAATAGTGGACCCAATAAATATTCGGTATTCGGCCGAATAGTTACGGTCGGGCCGAATACGAATAGTGGTTACCTTACATCCGTTTCGTGACTGGTGGAAAATGAACCTATCAAGATTTCCCAATTTGGTTCATACTGTCAAGCGTTATCTTTGTGCACCACCTACGAGCGTACCAAGTGAACGTCTGTTTAGTACAGTTGGAAATACCTTCATTGAGACAAGAAGCTGCCTTAATGCCGACAACATGAAACGTTTGTTGTTGTGTGTGTGTGTGTGTTTTTTTTTTTTTTTTTTAAGGCTAATGCCGCTTTTATGCATTAACTAAGCTGTCAGTGATAATTTGCAAGTTCAGTTACTTGTTATAAAACTAAGAATACTTTCATTCCTAGGTATTAGTTACCACAGACTGACTGACTGAAGGATGCAAAACATGAAATTTTTTTAAACGCTTACTATTCTGTACTACATTTTGTGAAGTAAAATTTCAGCGTACATTCGACATTATAAAAGTATATATATATTTTTTAAATTTATTTTATACACTATTCGAAATTGGAAGAATGGGCCTCAGTTTGAATATCGGGAAGACAGAAATAATGGTGGTATTAAGGAAAATAATTATTCCTAAATGTGTATTAAAAGTAAATGGTGTTATTTTGGGACAAGTACCGAAATTTGAGTATCTGGGTACATGAATAACATCAGATGGAAGATGCATTACTGAGATAAGAAACAGAATATGACAGGCAAAAACTGAATTTTATAAAATGAAGAACATCTTATGCAATATATCTTTGTCATTGAAGGTTAGAAAAAGAATTCTTGCTTGCTACATACATCCAGTTTTAAAATATGGCTGTGAGTCCTGGACAATCGGTAGGCAGGCCAAACAATTTCTTGAGGCCTCAGAGATGTGGTTTTACAGAACAATGTTTAAAATACCTTAGATGTGTCAGCACACGAACTAATACATACTGCAGGAGATCGCAGATTGTGACAAGGCATAATCGCCCGTGCCAGTCGGCAAAGCACCTGATGATGATGATTCACTATTTGTATTCGTATTCGGCAGAATAGTTGGTCCAGCTATTCGTATTCGGCCGAATAGTGAAAATCACTATTCTGTACAGCCCTAGTCTAAACGCAACTGTTTCAGCACTTCACAAATTTTCTAATTTTTACAACACCTCTACACCCTAAGGTAAAAGAGGAACTACTAAGTAAGGACTACATTTTAAAATCATAATCTAGCCAGATCATATTTTCTAATAGCCCATTTATTTATCTTAGGTTAAACAATGTGTCTGTGATTGCTGTGCTGTTGTATTGGTATGTGGGAAGCGTTTCAACGGGTCAGCTTGCGGGGGAAAGAGATAAAACAAACGTCTTTCATTCAGTTCCTGACATCTTCAAGTCGCTTACCTATTTTTCACTAGAATTTCCTTTGGACCTGGTCTTGGAACTGCAACCTCTATTATGTCGGTGGCTTCCCTGAAATCTGAGGCCAGTTTCTTCACAACGATCATACGCATTTTAGATGGACTGCTGTGAACAGACGCACCAGTGATTTTACAGTTAAAACGATGGTCATTTTAAATGCTAATTACGGACACGTTGCACCACATCTAAAGTCCGAGAGTCAGAGCAAGACAGACAGAGAGAGAGAGAGAGAGAGAGAGAGAGAGAGAGAGAGAGAGAGAGAGAGAGAGTAAGAGAGAGTGAGACCAAGTCAGGGTCAGTCGTTATCTCTCGCGAGTAAGACAGACAAAGTACCGTACAACTAACAGGCTTCATTGAGGTACCGTTGAATTGTTTTAAGAGTTGACATACGGGCTGCATTGATTTACCTTTGAAATCTGTTTTAAGAATTGACATACAGGCTTCATTGAGGTACCGTTAAACTCTATTTAAGAACTGACATACAGGCTTCGCTGAGGAAACCTTAAACTCAAAAAGGGGGGGGGGGGGGATTTTTTACCACTACCCATCTGTTATGAATAAAATTAAAATCTTAATACATAAAATTTGACTGAACTACCTAACAGCATTAACTTTGCTATGCTTGTCAGAATCTGTGACTTGACGTTGTCAACGCGGTTGGTAATTCTGGTGTGCCGGGCTCGATCCTAGCTGCGGGCGATTTGACAGCAGACCGTCTTGTGTTGGCTTCGACAGTGGTATCGAGACCAGTCACAGACTTATGGCCAGTGAAATCACAAACATCCAAATATAGTGATGAGACTAATTCTGCAACGTCACATAAAGGATTCACAACTGACTTTATATGCTTTGAAACTGTCCATGCTTTTCAAGTACTCCTTATAAGACTTGATACTGCTATCCCTCAGTGCAAGTACGATTGCCTGTCGAGTAGTTTTATTTAAGAATCACGGTCGAGACGAAAGCAGTTTTAACTTCAACTGGTCTTACCAGATGGAAGCAGATAAAAATAAGGTTTACAAATTTATCCTTTTCTTTGTGTTTACCAGCTGTAAACTCTGGCGGAAAGTTCTGGTTGTTCATCCACTTCTGGACTGCAGTCCTGTTCAAGAACCTGCGTGTTTCGTGTACATTAGTTTTATAGATCTGACTCATTTGTATGCAGACTGCTAGTTCCTTGCCTCCCTGACACATGCACTCCGACTTCGAAGAAAGCTCCCAATTAGTCGATTCTTACGACATGCTTTTTGGGTAGGCAGTGGGTCTGTTCTTGTTTTCCCTATAATAGGGCCCCGGAAACCCACAAACAAAATGCTACAACACATACGTCTTACTGTATCTCGTTTTTAACCTGGATTATGTCACGGTTCGAGGTTTCCTCCTCCTCCCCCCTCCCCCACACACACATGGATTTACCACGTCAAATTCAGATTTATTCAGAATTGCCAAAGAATTGGAACACATGTATTATCATTTTAATGCGCTTGCTGTGATGTTTTCTTCTCTCTGTTAAAAGAGGTGACAGTTGCCGATGAATGCATGTATTCTCCAGATCAACAAATGTTTTTTTAAACAGAATATTATGTTTATTAAATAAAACGTACTGTCTACGGTATTCTCTTCTTATTACACCAAAGATAAAATTAAAGTTGAGAGGTTCGACTTCCTTGCTCCGGGTTATCCTATGCAGCTCAATCTCTCTCCATACAACGGATAGCAGACTGCAGAAAGCGTCATACAAAGCACAAACTCTGTAGCTCCAACGACGATTCGCAGAAATCTCAGAAACAACTTCTTTGTTAGCAGAACGACGCGTCTGTAGAACAGACCCGCGACCTCCGAAGCGCGAGGCAAACGGACTGACCCCATTTATATAGATACCATCCTTAAATCAGACAAGAAGTAAATAAACAGAATTTTGAATTGGAGTTAAGGTGAATCAAGAATTGACATCACAGCACTCGGGACATTCCCATGCATGCTCCGTCCTCATATTCAGCAGCCAGCGCAGAGTTCAAAAACTGATGGTAACGGTCACAATCTGGTTAAAAGTCCGTCTTGCCTTTCCTCTGAGTGTATTCAGCCGACCAGACCCTCTGGTTACACCCAGGTGCCTCATTCTCTCCAGGCCATAATAATATTGTTTCTCTTTTAGAATAAGATTAAGAAGCTGAACGAATGGAAAGGAAAGGTGCTCGTTCATACAGTCGCAGAATTCGACTGAGATATTTCTCAATGAAGAGGACAGGAAAAATCCTAGTCCACAACAACCAGTTAAATTGACCCCACGGTTAGTAAACTCCTAATAGTTTCCAGATAGCAAGGACATTTAAAGATGAGAAGTTAAACAACAACAGTCCCGTGTGGGTTCCGAGGTTCCATGGAAAAGGGGGTGTCGGGGTGTAGATCCAATGTCCCTCTAAAAACGTGTCTTCTTCTTTTAAAGTCCATGCGAGTGGCATTGGTAGTCATATCAATCCACAGAGTTCTATCTCGTGTCCTTTCACTCAGCTGTGACACAGGTGATCCTCCATGCCACGATATCAAACTGTCTAACACCTTCTCTGTCTGAGAAACCCGGAGCCAACAGTCTGCAGACAAATAAGCCAGATTTGTATAAGGAATCTCAAATTGTAGAACAGGAGCAAGGTCCAGAAATGGACGAACACCTAGTTCTTTCCCGCCAGAGTTTACTGCCGGTGAACGCGAAGAAGAAAAATAAATGACTACAGGAAATCAATAATAATGCTTGTCATGACAAACTTGTAGAGGAGCGGTTAGAACGTTGGAATCTCAAGCGAAATACCCGGGTTCGAATCCTTGGTAAGGCAAGGGATTTTTCAGGGGGGCAAAATAAAATCCTCACCTGCGTAGTCGTGGCGACAGCACTAGACATGCGGCCGTAAATCCTCAGGCTCAAAGAACACCCCCCCCCCCCTTCCCCACCGCCTACACCACACAAGTGGTATAATAAAGGCCGTTACTGGCAGTTTGGTAGTTACTGTATTGTTATGATCTTGCGGGTGGCCTTCATATTGTTGTTACTTACCGATACTGATAATCATAAAGTCGAAATAGGAACCGCCATGAATAATTCAGAAGTTCATGTCTAGGACTGGTATTACTGTAACATTACATAACTAGGTATGTAATGATGAACTGCATTTCTAATGTTGGACTGTTTGTGCTAGCACTTCGGATGGCTACCGTATGCTTTAATGCGAGTGTATGCTAGATATGCTGAGACAGCAGTCTGTCAATCTTTCCACAAGGGACTGTGATAGACATTCTGAGTGTTTTTTCGCTGGCACAGGAGCGGAGCAAAGATGGGGCGACCCGTTTGCTATGAAGCTGAAACTACGACTACCAGACCAGACCAGATAACTAGGTTGCTTACAGCGGAAAGACACCTCTGGATTCAGCAATTGTTTCACTATTTGTTCTCAGCGTCTTCTGGTGCAACTTCCGGTGACGAGGGAGATGCAATGTATAGCACTTACGGACAACAAAGGTCGTCCCTATGTGGGACGCACTATTTCGTTATTTTAAAGGCCCATACTGGCTTTTGCCCTGGGCAGCAATAAAGCCCGATGGCTGAACGCGGTTTCTGGGACCTCTCTACGGGTGATCCTCATCCGTATGGTGGCACTTTGTGTCACTGGGTGTTTATCGCTCTGTGTGATGTCCTGGTGGGGTGAAATTTACTTACTTATAAATGCAATGTACTAGTTTTTGTTCGCCTAAACGTATCTGTCATGAACACTTAGTCTTGGTGCTGTTGCACAATTCCTCTGATGTTATCTTTCATCTCGTTCTTGGTCTGCATCGTTTTCTTTCACATTTGATATCTGCTTTGTATGGTATCTCATTGTATTTCCTTCTGAATGAGTAAACCAATTTATTTGCCCTGTTTCATAGCTGACTTTCTTTTGACGTTGGAATGCATCTGCCTGAGAGGCGAGGAACCAGAAGTCTGCACACAGAAAACAGATCTGTAAAACAGGTGCGCATGCACCATTTATAGCACAGAATATGGCCAAAGTCCAAAATGGGAAGAGAAACTAAGACATTCCGCGGGATGTTTCGCAAAGGAGAAGAATGAAATCACTGACTGACGAAGAAACAAATGGCAAAATTAGAATATTAATTGCTTTTTCGGTTGTTTGTAGTTTCAAAAGACAAGTTGACATTACATAGCTTCCCGTTGTTTTCTGACTAGTTCGAAGTTCCTACTGTTATCCAAATTTGCGCAAAACTGCCAAATTGCATGCAACAAACTGCAGCCCATCGTTATCGAAATAATGAAATTAAGTTTCCTATCCCCAAAGCGACAAAGTCGACTTTAAGTACTGATTTTTCAAATTTTTCAAAGTAGGTCTACTCCTCTATTGTCGTCTCACTGATACAAGGTTGTAGCCCAGTGTGGTGGTTACTCTGGGGCCAAAATTTATAAAATTGGGATTGTGGCCCGAACACCAACATAGAAAGATATTTAATACAAAACAAACGGGCCACTTGATAGGTCTCCGCGGGCCGATTTGGTCCGCGGTTCCCCAAATAAATAGCCCTGATCTAGAGAAATTGATAATAAACGAATAATAAACTAATAAAATGCAGGCAAGCATGTGAAATAAATCTGATGCAGGCAAAAAGATGTGAAATGTACTTAGTTCAGATGTCCACTGAGAAAAATCTGGCACCGCTGAGACGAAATCCGGAATAAATGAGTTTCTTCACAGGAATATATAGGCAGACGGGAGCAAGTGATGCGTGGTGACTTCAATAAGAGACGGATATTGTCACTTCTGAGAAGGACATGCTCTAACGCTACGAAAGATCTGGGAGATCAAGATTGGGTAAGAAATGACTAGATAAAAAGGAGGGGAAGGGGGCATAAAAGGATGGGTAGACGTGAGGAAACGATAGTTGGAAGAGTCAGTCTGGCGACGTCAGAATTTAAACCTTGAAAGAAATGTGTGATATTTGTGTCGAAATGATTGATTTTCTGGTCGCTCCTCATCATTGTCGTAATAATATAGTGCTAGCTTCTTTGACTTACCCCTGTTGGTATCGGTGCTCGTTTAGACGTTTC